AGGTATCTCATCGAACCCCAGGATCAGACTCGCAAGACCTTTTGTTCTCTGTCACTTCCGGACGTCGACCTCTAAAGCTCTGGTTCCATGTGGAGCCGGACCGCGTACTACACCATCCATTCGCTCTGGCCGCAGCTTCGAATTGTCGACGGTAATTTGCCCGTCGAACTGGGGTGGCCATATGGAGAGCTTTTCTGGTTCAGAACTGACTTTAACATATTTCATTGCCTTTTGAAGTTCTGCCCCGATTTGAACTTTGATCTTCCCTTTGATTTCCTCTACTTCCGTGTTCATTTCCTTCCTGATTTTGTCTATCTCTGTCTTGATGGTTCCTATCCTTTCTTCGAGTAGACTAGCCACGCAACAAAGTTCTTTCTTTACGTCTTCCGCATTTTCTAGAAGTTTGTCTTCCAAACTCTTCGAATTTTCCAGAAGCTTCGCCTCCAGGCATTTCGAATTTTGTTGAAGTTCATCTTATAAACTCACCGAATTTTCGCAAAGCTTGCCATTTAAACTCTTCGAATTTTCCAGAAGATTGTCTTTCAAACTCTTCGAATTGCTTTTCGAATTTTTCAGAAGCTTCTCTCCAAGGCTTACCGAATTTTGTTGAAGTCCATCGAGTTTGCTCATTATTGAACTGAAATCACCCCCAGAAACTTCGAATAAATATGTTTCGGGATCTCCTCCTGATTCAGTCAAGTTATCCCACATTCTCTTCTGAAGTACTGATTTCTTTCCAGAACAATCTAGCTCTCTCTCCTTCAATTCTTGCTTCAATTCGGCAACTTTCAAGTCCATTAGGCGCACTTTCCTCGAACACATTTTGTCTCTTCCCGTCTATTTTCCACAAAACTGTATATGCCCACTTATTTTAATCTAGTTAGAAAGAAAACACTTATTTACTTTCACAAGTCTATTTCTCGCGAGAAAGGTCTATCAGTTTACGTTACCATAGTCCGGTACTGTCCACTTCGCGAAACACAACGAATCACCAGTCTATCTGCGCGAACAAAAAATAAAGGCTTATAGTCAATTTCACCGCAATACAAAGATTGTCCACCACGCGCTCACAGATTTATTTTACAAATCCACTTCTGATACTAACAAATTAAAGAATTTACTGTCTTGAACAAATTTATTTCTAACAATATTTCACTATCACAAACTAATTTATTTACAACACTTAGCACACTTTCCACTATTTGAATTCCTTTTTTAACCGCTCTATTCACTTTCTGGATTCAACTGCCCTCTCTGGACGAGTACACGGCTTTATACAATATCGGTAACGATCACTCTAGAATTCTCTTGTTGTTTCGGTACTCAACTGGAGTTTAACCTGCGGTTGCGGACTGCATTCCTTTTGCGGTGATGTTTGCTCACTGGACGGCATATCGGTCAGGGGCGGCTTCAGATTCGTTACAGTATAGATTGCCTCAATGTTTTTACCATCAATGAACATTTATGTCAATTACAAATTAGAAAAACATATGGTGTAATGGTGCATCCCAATTTGTGCTGAGTGTGTATAAAAAGGGAGAAAAATGTTCACGCTCAGTTAAACATAACTCAAATCTTTTTTCAAATGACAATCTGAATGGTTTTCTCATCATTAAAACTATGAAAAAACTACCTACTAATATATACGACTATTTTGAGGGAGACTTTTTTATGAAGAGCCATTGAACAATTATGGATATCAATTAATTAAATTGATATTGAATAAATATTTCTCAATCAGAATTCACCATGAGACATCTCTGATAGAAAACGAGAGGAGCACGAGTATTAACAAAATCAATTTTGTTTAAAAAGCAATATGATATGTTTGTTAACTTTGAGCTGTTCATTTCTTTGTTATGGACATTTTATTAGTTCATTTGTGCCTGTTACTTATATTCGTATAATGATTTGTAAATTATTGTTATTCATAATAATTTTTTTTAATATTACTAAATATGATACCATTTGTATTGTTTGTTTAGGACATTCGAATAAAGTCTTGTTTTGAAAAGTGTTTTATTAATATTTTTTCAATTCTGGAACCCCCAGTCACTAATGTTCAATATATCTGGATTATCTATAGGTATATCACAAAATTCGTACGCACTTACAAATTCTTGACATTAGTCAAGAAAATAGTTATTTCTGGCATACCTTGAGTAGCATTACAATAATGGTCCTACATCTTTTATTTTTCCAATTTAGAAAATTTTTAATTGACCCCAAAAACTTCTATATATAATTTTACAGACATTTGATCAAAAATTCGTCCTCGATCTTGAATTATTTAATTTTTACAAACAATTCATAATTTCCGGACCCAAAAAAACACCTTGATTTGGTATTTGACTATAATTGGATCATAAATCACAAAACTCATCTTGAATTTCAACCTAAAATTCATAATCTCCAAACTTACAAGTTTTTTAGATTCTAATTTTGAATAGAATCTGACCATAAATTACAAAACTAGTCCGCCATTTCGAATAAATAATTAATTATCTCCAAACACAGAAACTCCTAAATACCAATTTTGCATAGACTCTCGTACCATAAATCACAATCTCGTCCGCCAACAATCCCTACATATTAATTTCAAATCTGATATTGATTTACATAACTCGTCCATCGTCTTGTATTTTTTTAAATACAGTACTCATTCATTTTATTTAAAGGCGACATAATTCACTTCATTTTAAAAATTAGTTGATACAGTCTAGTTTCTTGTATTTTTTTAATTAAAAACTTAATGCGTTATCATCCAAATGATGAATACCTGTCAAATTTAAGTCGATGACTGGAAGTGGTTCAAAACTAACCCAAACAATTTGAGGATTATGTATACTATTCCCTCATCTCTATATATTTTTTATCACTCTGAGGTCGAAATCCGTCACAAATACGTGTTTTTAGATAATAATTATAATCCATAAAGATGAACGCCAATTTGGCAATGATATCTATATTTTGAAAAACTGAAAAATTGGATTGTTGTAGTACGTTCATTCTATTTCTGAATCCGTTACAAAGACCCGTTTCAGATAATAATCCATACATATGAACGCCATTTTGGCAATGATGCCGATATTTTAAAGAACTGAAAAACTGGGTTGTTGCAGTACGTCATATTCTCAACATTTCACACATGTTGAAATCTGCCACAAAGACTCGTTTTCAGAAAATAATAATAATATATAATAACGTCATTTTGGCAATGATGCCGATATTTTGAAGAACTGAAACATTTGGATTACCTATCACAGTACTTCATAACCTCAATATTTTACACTGTGTCAAAATCAGTCACAAAGACCCTTCTTCAGAAAATCATAAGTGTAATCTCTAGGGTTTGACGTTATTTTGATGTACTAAAAAATTGGACTTTCACACTATCTTCAATAAATTCATCCCTTCCTCTTTCATTTCATGAAATCACGATATGACTATCATTAATGTGACTTGGCTCTCTTTTGTACGCCAACATTAAGATGTCTGTTAGATTTATTTTTCTCTACACCACGCAGACGTCATCAAATTCTCACTCAAACACACACAATGCTGTCTTCTTTTAGCGCCATCATTCCTGCCACAGACATATAACCTATAACTAGACTGCTAATGGTCATATCCCAAATACTCGAAAAATGTATCCAAATTGAATTTATGAAAACGTGTCTGCGCTATGCGCAGAAGGCTCAATGTCATTTCAGACGTTGACACAAGGCTTCGACCATTTTGTTCATAGTCGTCGTCGGCTTCGTGAAAAAATGAGGTGTTTTGTACTTTGGTGTAGGAATTCTTCGTTGAATCGCCCAGAAGGTGTTACATTCCATAAGTTAGATAGATAGATAGTAGTTACAAAACTGTTTTTTGTTTAGGTACGTCACAAACTACAAAAAATATTCAATAATGAAAAATATGTTAGTACCTATATGAAAAATTCGATATTTACATATATAAAATCAATCACATTTATACATATATGAACAGATATCACAAAATATCTAGTCCACACTTTCGAAATGCAAAAATATAAGTATTTAGACCCATGAATGAAGAAAAATTTCATTTATATCATATAGTGGATTCAGCAGCATTGATTGTTTCAGTTGGTATTTAAATTTTTTAGTTGTGTGATACTTCCATTCCATTGTATTCCATTCCATTGTATGTTTGACTTCTATAGTGTTTGATGTCTATTATTTAGTGATATACATATTGCTGTCTGTCTTTTAGGTCAGTTAGTCAGTTATAATTCTAAAAACATTAATATCCAATACAATTATTTCACAATTTATAGTTTAAAGTCCCTTGAGTTATTCACAATAGTTACAACAATAGTTATCAATATGTAAGAAAAACATTTGGGTTAGCTTTGCCTGCTCCCAGTAGCCTAAGAAGTTGGTTAACCAATATTCATTGTGAGCCTGGTTTTGCTCAGACAGCATTCGACACATTGAAAAAAAAAACTCATTGAGAATAAAAAGAAAAATTTGCAAACTTTATGTTGCCTGATGTTGGATGAGATCAGCCTTAAAAAACAAGTTGAATTCCATTCCGATAAAATATGGGGATATATGGATTTGGGCACAGGTATTGAGGATGATGAAAGGAAGTATGCAACCAATGCCTTACCTTTAATGGTTGTGTCTGTAACAGAGAATTGGAAAATTCCAATAGCATATTCTTTAATAAATGGTCTTGGAGGAAGAGAAAAAACCAACACTGTCAAATATGCCCTTCGAATGCTTTCAGAAGTCAATGTGACTCTTGTTTCTATTAATTGTGATGGTTCAACAGCTTATTTCAATATGGCACAAGCATTAGGGGCAAAGCTCAACATCGGAAGTAAAACGGGTATCCGGCCATATTTCCCATATCTGGCTACAAATCAGAGAGTTTATATCATACTTGACGCATGTCATATGTTGAAGTTACTGATAAACAATTGGAATTGGGCGAGACTCAATGTATTCATGGACAAAGATGGAAATGAGATTCGGTTTGATTTCGTATGAAAATTATATGAAACACAAGAATCAATCTCATTGAGAGTTGCAACTAAACTTAGAACATCCCATATTGAGTGGACCAAGCAAAAGATGAAGGTAGTTATTAAAATTACAAAATAATACACCAGTTTAATAATTGTACTTATTATATTTTAGCTGCCCAAATTCTAAGTAGTAGTGTTGCAGATGCATTGGAGTTTTGTGAGGTATGTAATCATCATTATTTTTCATGGTTCAGAGCATTATAACAAACAAATATTCTCATAATTTCCATTTGAATATGAGATAGGAGTGAATGAGCACTATAGGAAGAAATTCTAATTGTCTTATTATTGTATATAAACTACATATAATTTCCTTTGTGATGAGTATATTTCTCTCTTCAATTACATAAAAATTGCTGCTTATTGATTATTTTAAATCATTAAAGATGGCACTCCAGCATTACCAACTGAGTAACTTTTTTTTTCAGATCTCGAAATGGTTTTAATAACATCTGTTTGATCTGTAATTCTACAAAACGATGATGTTGTTTCACATCATCGTTTTGTAGAATTACAGATCAAAATATTTGTATCAACAACAAGTAATAAAATAGGTACTATATCACAAAAAATGTTTCCAGAAATTCAATCTTCAATGTTACTTGACATTTATCGCAACGTGGACCACATTACTGAGAATACCCAGCCTTTCCTCACCCTGCCACTCAACATTGAGAAAGTGAAGACCGTCAGAGAAGCGCTTAAGGTACTTGTCTCCAAGAACATTTTAGAGGGAGTGACTTCGTCGAAAACAAACGAGAAGGTCGAAGCGTGGGAAGAAATTACGCTCTGCAAACTTCCCGTTATCCTTATTTTGCATCTGAATAAAGTAAATCATCTCCCAAGTATCCCACAAAATTTTTCGGTTTTTATGTCAATTAACAACTGAGCAAGAGCAATTGAAATGTGAGATCGCCCGCAGTACATTTTGACGTCACACCAGGCAACGAGCTTCAAGCGGTGGCAACCGGGCCTGTAGTTGGAGATTATGAAGTGCTCCCATCGTCGGATTTTGTTTTATTTGCTGGTTTGAAAACACCACGTGTTAAGTATTTTTGAATTATTTTGTTTTTAAAACAATTCAAAAGTTATAAGGACTATTATCTGTTCATTAGAAGACAGCTTTAGTAGAGCTGTTTCGGGTATATACCCGAAGTCGATATTTTCATGGTGATGGAATATTTTAATAACAGAGTAGGGACTACATAAGCGCTGTAGCTTTTGATATTCGAAAAACCTGTTTATTAACTTGAATCTCAACATTGAAGGTCTTTTCCTGTGTACCTGCTTCATTAGACATGCTTTGATTTTCCGCGATATCTTCGGTCTATAATCTGGCAATCAAATATATGCCGAATTACGCCTGGTTTAAATATCATTTCTTCCACTTTCATAGTTTTCGATATACATGTAATTTTCCAAGTCTTTTTCAACCTAAAATACAATGTAGTGCTCAGAGTAAACTATAATTTTTTTATTAATCATTATATCATTCATACTTACATCAAAATATTGATCGTCGCAACAAAAATGCGTCCCCTCGGCAGATACAAATTCGGCCCTCCGCATAGCGTGCTTGTCACAACTTTCGTGATTTTAAGTTACTTGGCAGTGAAATAAAAATTTTGCCTGGTGCAGTTACCGAAGAATTCTTGCATTTAGCAACGATGCAATACTTGTAATGTCCTTCTTTATCATTATTCATATTCACGCAGTTGACACCCTGCAGTAAACAACACACAACTTGCTTTCTACGACTATAGCACACGTATTCGCTTATCCGCCAGCACTTCCTTGTCTCCGAGTCGACTGATGTGACGTTACGCCCCGTTTCGGTGAAAGCCACACTATTAATTTGAGGGGGAACATGAAAAGTGAAAATTTAGATTTTTGCAGGTGTACTATCTTTCAAATAATGAAATAAAAAAAATTTGTTAAATGAACCCATTATTATTTTAGTATTATTTCTACTGATGTTACATCACAATCTAATTTTATTTATGTAAGTTGCTATTATGTACACCAATATTTGCTGATTGCGTGAATAAATATCAACATGTAAAAATTGTATGCTTTTTACTTCCTTAGATTGCAGTTTGCAAAAAACAATGTATCTTTCTGGAAAAGAAAGTTTTTGACTTTCTACAACTCCATCTTGATTTTTTTAAAAAGTGGGAATCTTCCAAAGAAAGGAAGGAAGCAATCAATTTTGAAAGAAGTAACTCTATACATAGATGTGTAGATCATGCAAAGAAGTAACTTTCAGACACAAACTGGAAGAAAAAGCCCTCCTAAACATTGAATTACACGAAAGAAAAAATTATTTCGAAACAAATACTTCTATATTAGAATACAAACTGAGTAAAGAAAGGTGTTTTTTGTATAATTCAGTGTTCTAAAGTAGCTGTTTCAGGAGGGCTCTTTCTTCCAGTTTGTGTCTGAAAGTTACTTCTTTGCCTGATCTACACATCTATGTATAGAGTTACTTTTTTCAAAATTTATTGCTTCCTTCCTTTCTTTGGAAGATTCCCACATTGTTTTGTATCAAGATGGAGAGAAAGCCAAAACCTTTCTTTCCCAAAAATTAATCACTCCTAATACTTATGTTATGAGTACCAGGGTGACCGAGCTTTGCTCGGTATTAATATTATTACTACTCGCCAATAGATATCAGGATGTTTATTTTTGTTTCGCAGATTTCTCTATGACCATAAGTATGAAAACTAAGTATTTCACTTGATATCCTTAAAAAATACCCCTTTCCTGCGATACGCCCATGTGATTTGGAAACGTCATGAAACTTCATTGCGCATGCCCTGAGGGCTTACTGAAATTTCGTAAATGGATGAAGTTTTGCTATATGGGATTAGCAGTCTAGGTTAAGATTATGTTGATGATTCCTGCCAACATCGCCTGCCACTTTTTCCACTAACCATACTACTGTAAGCGAAAAATGGTGGAAGGTGGGTCCAAGATAGCTGCAGGCAGCTGACTAGTGGCAGTTGACAAGTGACATCACAAGTCACTCTCAAGTAGGCTATTTCCTACTGCGTATCCCTACCATCTCCTTTCTGCAGTTTTTCAATATTTCAAGTTCCCTCCCGTTCATTCTCTACCACAACCCTATCGGCTTTTATTTTGTTCTTGTTTATTTTATAAAATGAATTAATTCACAATTGGCGCCCTGAAAAAATTATTTTAGTTGTTTGACCTTGGAAATCCGAGTTGACTATTTATCCAAGGTGAACAGAAAGGTTATTATTAGATACACAATTGCGAAGTTTGCTACACCATCCTGATATAGTTCACAAATAGCTATACTGACAAGAACATTGAATTTTTTTCATGTTGTTGCATTTGCTTTTTCTTTCTTTTCCAGATGCTCATTCCCATTACATTTTCTGTAACAAGTGATTTTCTTTTATTTTTGACACTTTGACATCAACTTCTGTTGTTCAAGTTTTAATAATTGCGCTCGTGCCCGGTAGAAAAAATATTACCACCACTTTGCGCATGCGCTACGCTCTCCTCTGAACTAAGCGCAAGCGCATAATTCAAAATATCACTTATATGATAGGTTTGTTCCAACAAACGATTGCAAACAGTTTGCAAACCGTTTGATGAACTGCTTTATTCTGGCTAAATGCGCCTATAGGGAAGCAAAGGCCAAGAACTTTGAGTGAAGTGAAGTGAGTGAACTGCTTTATTGGGCATACTCGATCAGAAACCAGTTGGGAACTAATTCGTGATTCTGGACTGTTGGAACGCAACCAAAACCAAACTATCAAATCACATTGTGAAACGTCAGACCGGTTAAACTGAATTTGTGAACTTTAATAAGATTACCTAGGTGTTGAATTGTGATTTTCTGTCGATCAACTAGGAAAATTTGGAAATGAGTGAACAACTAGACGGTAAGATAACAAAAAATTGTAATTTGCCGTAATATAAGTAATTAATAATTCCCAAATTATTTTTAAAGGTTATGTTGAAATTCCATGCCAAACTTCAGTTGAAGTATCAGCTGTTCCAATCAGAAATTTCAAATTAATCAGAAACCAATATTTACCAGGCATGCGCGTTGACAACGATTTATAAACAGTTGGAAATCTGTTTGTGACTCAAGGTTGGAACGAACCTACTATAGTATCAGCATGGACACTTGGCCATGCCGCCTTTGATGTGGAAAAGTATGTAGACGCCATTTTGGGAAATGATGCGAAATGGTTTTGGACAGGTTCGCACTCAACTTTTTTATATCTAAAATGCTCATATAATTTTGATATACTTTACGGAATGGACCTAAATTTAATTGATATAATAATTTTTGTGCAGACATTCTATCTGGTTACATGATTTTTTTAAAAAATGTCAAAACAGCCGAATTATTTCTAAAATCACTAATAGGAATACAACGTTTCAATAAACTGGAATATGAAGGAGAAATTGTCCAGCAATCAACTTTTTGATATAAACTTATTGCATTTTAGAATGAAATCTTTTTCAACATAAATGTATTTTTTTATATGTACATAGGTAAGTTCTATCCAAACATCAACTTACTTTTATTACTCCAATCTTTTTATTCTTTTTTAGTAATACGTTCACAGAACGTTCTTTACCCTCCTGAAATGTCAATATCATGTAGGTGACCCACACTTAGTCCTTATTCTAGGTTTTCAGGGTAGCTGCTGGTGATTATTATAAAAGGAAAATACTAGAAATACAAATTGTTCATTTTAAAACATTCATTCGTGTCTCCAAATTATTATTTTATTCTTTTTCCTTTTTTTGGCAATATTTTTCTGAGATATGAAATTCCTATTTACATATTTCAATGTATAAAATAATCTCACTGTACTATATATATAACCTCAAAAGTTGAGATATTGGAAAATTTTCACATGGATGGTTATAATTAAATCGTTCAAACAATGATAGAAATCCTGCAATGACATTTGTTCCTACAATAAGTTTCTCAAACTTGCTTTGGAAGTTTACTTCCAAGGAGGAAATAAAATAAACGAATTCATTTTGGGCATCCTCAAGTTACCGAATGTGTCAAGAGTTCTGTTTTGAAATGCTCTGAAATAAGAGTACAGAGATTCATGATTTAATTCACAATTTATCCTAACAAGAGCAAAGCCAAAAGTAGAATGAGAAAGTCTGTCACTTCCCAAAATGGCGGACTCATCAACGCGACGGATATGCGCGAACTTCTCCCGCCAAGCGAAGTGACATTGCTGATTGTTACTATGCTGTGCTGTGATATAGTTATAGTGCACGCCAACCTACAAAAGTACAGTATTTTAGTCAGCTCTCAACTTTAGAAAATCTTAACACAGGTGAAAGTGGTGAATAGTGTGAAATTTTGTGTGTGGAAGTTAGGTTGAGTCCTGGAATAACATTAATAATTGAAAAACATCAATTGAAAATGACTACTGTCACATCTCTTCCTCATTCTCTTTCTGAAAGCACCAGGGAATTGATTCCAAAATCCAAAGTTTTGGTGGTAGGAGCTGGAGGAATCGGATGTGAAGTTCTGAAAAACCTAGCTCTGTCAGGATTCGAAGATATTGAAATTGTAAGACTTATCTTCAATGAATAATTTATCAAATGATTTAAAATATTAATGTATCTTTTGAGCTTAATTAACCTTTCAGTAGTCGCATCCAGTTATACTCCTTTGTACTTTAGTGTCTACAACTCTAAAGCCTCAATAAGTTTTTGAGATCAGGATGACTTAGTGTTCATATTTTTCAATCAACAGACAATTTATATAAGAAATATTTCTGAATGTTTTTCGGTATCCCAAAAAGAAGAATCTGAGGCTTTCTTCAGAAAAGTTGACAAGGTATGATGAAGAAGCCCTATATTATGAACTCTTTGTTTAAAATTCTGATCAATACGATGGAGAATATGAATTCGAAAAAACTATTTCTGATAGGAAAGTGATTTGTCTGATAGGAAATGTACATATTGAGATTGGAAGAATACAAAAACATAAATATTCAAAATATTACTTTAGGGTATAAGTTATCCAATTATTCATATAATCGTAAACTGAGTATTTCAATAATGAATATTCCTTTGAATATTACAGAAACATGAAGAACTGCTAAATAGCTAATCTGAATACTTCCAATATTCTGACAGGGAGTGAGGTTGTTCTTGACAAAAACTCAAAATAGTTTTTACTAGAATATATAATAAAACTTAATTTGAGAAGGAAATATTTTTGACTTTCTATTTCTCCATTATTATACAGTGCCTTCATTTCAAAACTTCCCACCCCTAGCACCCCCACTTAATAATTTTAAATGGCACTTTCTATCTTGTAACGCATCATTTTAAAGATCATAAAAATCCTCACTCAACTCCGTTCAGAAAACTGAAATTGGTTGATCCGTTCTCGTAAAATAGGACAAAAAGAAAATTAATTATAATAAAAAATGAAATAATAGCTATTGCAATTAAATAAATTAAATTAATTATAATAAAAAATAAAATAATAGCTATTGCAATTAAATAAATGTACCTTACTTTATTAGGTGTTCAAAATGTTCACCGTTGGTAGCTAAGCAAAAGTACAATCTATTCTCGAATTCCTGTCGGACTTTTGTAAATGTTTCGTTATTAATTTGTCTGCATGTGTCAGTAATCTTGTGTCTTAGATCCTAAATGTCCTGTGGGGGAGTTTTGTATACCATTGTCTTCAAATAACCCCAGAGAAAGAAATCCAATGGCGTTAAATCCGGAGATCTCGCCGGCCAATCCAGAGCGCCTCTTCTGCCAATCCATTTGTCAGGATACCATTGATTGAGCCACTGTCGGACATGCAATGCGTAGTGTGGCAGTGCGCCGTCCTATTGAAAATGTAAATTTTGTTTATCCAAGAGCGGGTAGTCTTCTTGGATGACTTGGCGTTCTAAGGACTGTGATATAATAATAATAATAATAATGATAATAATATCATTTATTGCCCAACAGGTAACACCCAATTACAGGACATACTTAAATATATCAGTACTGATAATAGATAAAATAAATTAACAAATCATGTTCATTCTTGACATGCTGTATGAATATAACATAACAATGATATATAACATCGAATAGAAAACAAAAGAAAGAAAACTGAAACAAAAGAAAAAACTGATAGTATAACTATTCATTGCGCTACTTGGTAAGAATGATTATAATAACTGATTCTCTCACAACACAAAAAATAAAAAACAGTTTTGATGTCACTTTAAGATTTCCATTGCAACTTTTTTTATATGATTCGCCGAGCAAGTATTAATATCGCAAAAGCTGCATATCGAGTTGTAGTTTTCACACATATATTTAATTGGAGAATGCGGTATTATGTTTGTTCGTGCTGCAGAGCAGTAAAATGAGTGGATCGATTACATTTTCCAATACGTTTAAATACAATTGACCAGTTACATTTACTTCAATAAAAATAGTGCCAATTATTTCGTTTGCCAGAATTCCAGCCCAGACGTTTATTTTTTGTGGATATTGCGTATGATCCTCTCGAAACAAGTGTGGATTTTCATTATCCTAGTATCTACAGTTAGGCTTATTTACAAAGCCATTGAGAAAAAAAGTTGATTCACCACTGAAGAAAATATTTTTTATAAAATTCGGGTCATTTTGAATTCTCGCAGTCATTATTTTACAAAATTCAATTCTCCTATCACAGTCATCCTGACTGAGTTGTTGAAGAATATTCATTTTGTTATGAAAGAACTTGTTTAATTTTAAAACTTTGTGTATAGAACCAACTGAAATATTTACTAACTTAGCGACTTTCAAAATTGAAGTAGTAGGCTCAACGGCGAATTGGCTTAAAATCTCAATCTGTGCGGCTTCCGTAAGAACTCTCGGCTGCTTTACTGCTTTGTTGCACACAGAACCGGTCTCTTCAAATTTTTGAACAAGGTCTAGAACATATCGGTGACTCACATTTTGGCCTGCATGCCTTTTATTAAAAACCCGGGCTGTCCTACGAGCACACCTATCTTCAGCACCATAAATGAAAATAATTTCTGTTCTTTCTTGTAAAGTGTACACCATTATGATTTGTATTACTGTCAGTGCAACTGACACCACTTGAAAAACAGTTTAAAATAGGAATAACTAATTCTGATAAATGTTTTCACCATTTAATTGTAACTGACGTCAAGAGGCAAAAGTGTGCCCTTATCTCACTTTCAGCTAAAGCAAAAAACTCTGAATAAAAAAGAGACATAAACAAACCGTTATTGAGTCAGTGGTACAGTGGTAGCGGTTCCATAAATTTTTGCATTTTGTTATAATTCATTTTCTGTTTGCCCTATTTTACGAGAACGGATCAACCAATTTCTGTTTTCTAAAAGCGGTTGAGTGAGGATTTTCAAGAGGATGTGTTGCAAGATAGGGGGTGCCATTTAAAATTATTAAGTGGGCGTAGCTAGGGGTAAGGGGGTTAAACCTAAAATACCACTGGCACTGGTTTTAAACTTCCCCTTCGATATCTAAATTGACGTGTTTTTTGCCTACGGTAAATTCTCCCTGCTAAACGAAGTACTAGGGGTGGGAACTTTTGAAATGAAGGCACTGTATGACATTCATTTATATATGACCCAGCATTGACAAAAAATGATAGTCAAATAGAGGTATTGAAATTGCAAAAATTCAGTGTTTGCTCCTCTTACTGCTACATTAAAGTGTAGCAATTTATAAAATTTATAAAAATTGAAAAATTATGTATAAAGAGGGTGTTTGAATGTTGAATACAAAATATAACAACTTTAGTATGCATATATAGACAAACCGTCTGTTATTTCAACTTATTTTCAAATTTACTAAATGGTCCCTTATCACTCATCTGTAGGAGTAATGAATATATATATTCATAGGTAGGAACTTCAATATTGATTTCACTGCCAGCTGTTTGAAGCAACAGTTCAACAAGCAGCAAGTAGTTCAACATCAATTAGCATCCTTTGATCTAAAAAGTACCATATCTGTCCCAACTACAGTAACTCCTATTTCTAAAACATGCTGAGATAATTTCTTTATAAATGTTGGAGCTGAATATAATGTAACAGTTGTAAGTCACATATCTGATCATTATGCACAGATTAATAATACTTATTCCATTCACTAAAACTCTTCTAAACTGCCCAGATGCACTTCACTGCTTCATCAGTAGTAATAAATAGTGGTGAGTGGTAAATCTCAAGTCCTTCCTACATAAAGTTTTGGGTATGTTTCGTGTGTTAGTTTGTAGACACATAATCGGTTGTCCTTCTTTATGTATGACTTGTTCTTTATACGGGGTGTCAACGAATCTATTAGACAAGTCATAACTTCTAGACTATTAGGTGTATCAAAACGAGATTTGGTACAGATAAATGGTATGTGGAGAGGAGAGTTTTCACATATTTTTCACTTTCCGGTCACTTCCGGTTTCAGCGGAAATGGCTCCGGTTCTGAATTTTTAAATGGAACACCCTGTATATTGTAACATTTTTGGATTTCTGAGACAATTCTGGATCAGAAACTGACATTTCCGGAAGTTTTTCAGCCTACTTGATTTTTTCAGAGTCACTTTTAAAATTGCATCTAGGTGGCCATGATCGGACGTAAACTAATCTATGGACCTCAGGTGATATCAGA